CATTGTAAAGCTAAAAGCTACAGACCCGAGAACTCAGGGGTAGCTAAGCATCAACCAAACAGCATTTACCAAAAAAAAACCAAAAAAACAAAACCAAACAAACAAAAAAAACATTCACTGCATGCATTTTTCTTTTTATCTATTCATTTTATTTCCATACATTGTCAGTTCAGGAACCCCACCCTTAAAAAATTAGAATCTAATTGTCCTTCAAGTTTATTTCATTCTCTACAAGATATATATATTTAAAACTATATTTTTATTGATTTCAGAGAGGAAGGGAGAGGGAGAGATAGAAACATCAATGATGAGAGACTATCAATGGTCAGCTGCTTCCTGCTCACCCCCTACCAGGCATCAAGCTAGCAATCCAGGCATGTGCCCTTGACTGGAATTAAACCAGGGATGCTTCAGTCCCCAGTCCAACACTCTATGCACTGAGCCAAACTGGCGAGGGCCAAATTGTCTCTAAATATGAGTCTCAAATCTACTTTCAGGTAAAAAAGGAGGAATTTTTAGTCTTATTAAAAATTGTTTTTTACTAGATTAATTTAATGACAGTAACTATTTACCACCTAAGCTCTCATAGGACTGGAACTGTGTTTCATGTCTTGCCTGATGGACCTCATTCTGTGATAAGATCACAGTAATATTTCTATTAATTTATTAATCCAAATTAGTGCTTTAATGTCTCTCAACTTTGTATTTTTCAAAAGTCACTCATCTTATTTTGTGCCAGTAGTAAAACTGAGTTGATTCTAGGTACAAATATGTTTCCCCTAGAAATGTTGCAATACACTTAAGAAAAGATTTTTGCAATTATGCGATCACTCCGTACACTGTAAAATAGGGCACTGTATTCTAGTAATCTGCTTTGGATCCATCTAAGAAAGGAGACTCAAAAATCCTTCCATTCATACCATGCCTGCCTAAATTCAAAACATCCATTGTTTTTCTCCAAAGTCAGTTTCCTAATGATGACAGCCACAGGTCTGCCTGTGGGATGCTCTCGTGGCTGGCTTGCCTATCCAGCCGCTTCAGGTCCCATAGTCCTTCAGAGCCAAGGCAGGGGACCCTCGAGGGGAGATTTGCCCCAGATGCCCCAGCGGGATAGAATGGAGCCCAGCAGCCGGGTGCCTTTAAAACATCCATTGTTTTTCTCCAAAGTCGGTTTCCTAATAATGACAGCCACAGGTCTGCCTGTGGGACGCTCTCGTGGCTGGCCTGCCTATACCAGCCGCTCCAGGTCCCATAGTCCTTCAGAGCCAAGGTAGGGGACCCGCAAGGGGAGATTTGCCCCAGATGCCCCAGCGGAATAGAATGGAGCCCAGCAGCCGGGTGCCCAGGCCACGCAGTTCCTGGAGCAGATGTGCACGGTACATGGGTGGGCACCTTCCTGAGACCCAGCCCCTGCGCAGCCCCCTCCACCCCCCACCCCCCGCGCAGCCCACACAGGCAGGGAACCAGGAAAATAAGGCCGAAGCCGATGTATCAGGGACCCCACCCCACCCTGGTGCCTCCTCCTGTAAATATGCACTCCGGGCCAGTCCTGCTCATTAGGCTTTATTTCCATCATGTCTTCCAAGATGTGTGACACAACAGGTTTTCCCACATTGCTTACACTCATAAGGTTTTCCCCCAGTATGTGTTCTTCCATGCTTTCTAAGAGACTTGGAGAAAGTGAACTTTACCACATTTCTTACATTCATACAGTTTTTCTCCACTGTCTGTGCTTAAATGGCTGGGCATGTGCAGGAGGCAACCAACTGATTTGTTTGTCATATCAATATTGCTCTCTGAGAGGAAACCAAGATGGCGGCATAGGTAAACACTGGAGATTGCTGCCTTGCACAACCACTTCAAAAATACAACTAAAAGACGGAATGGACATCATCCAGAACCACAGGAAGGCTGGCTGAGTGGAAATTCTACAACTAGAAGGAAAGAGAAAAGCATACCGAGACTCAGAGGAGGCGCAGT